TAGGGGTTTAGGGTTTAGGTTTTACGGTTTAGGCCTTTGGAGCCTAGATGAGTGGAATTGGTTTTGGGTGTATTGTATACGGTCAACGGTCACAAATGTTGGTGAGCAATCTTTTATGCCCTAACAACAAAGCTTCTACACTACATGGGTTGTGTAGATGCTTCCAAAACATCTGACTGAATATTGTTGCTACTGACTACACCATTTTCAAGGTACAGGGTGCTCAGGGTCTTTGCAAATTTGTTTACGTATGAAACGTATGAGGCTCCTGCAGGCCTATTTTGGAGTCAATTTGGACCCCCAACCTTTCCGGCACCCTACTGCAGAATACACCTGACACCTCTTAGGGTTTAGGGTCTATAGGGCTTATAGGGTTTCTTAGCCCTAGATCAAGGTTTAGGGTTCATGAGTTAAGGCTTTAGGGCTTAGGGTTCATCATGTGTAAGGTTACATGGAGGTAACCTGCTGGAAGCCTGAACAATTCCCACTATTGTTGCTTTAAAGCCTTCTAGAAGCAAAATTAATATAATGCAATGTAATGTATCCCAAAGCTTCTTAGCATTCTGGGCCCTACATTACATCGCTTGTCAACCCACACATACTCACCCAGTTTCAATGTCTTCTCCATGTTTGTGGTGAAGCCGTGGATTGTTTGGAGAATCGAGCTGCTGCGAGTAGAAATGCAAAGTAAGTCCTAAGCTGAGTTACTCTTGAGGAACTTGTGTAAATTGAGTTACCATGTTTATGGGAAACCAAATTATTTACTGCACATACTTCCACATGGCGGTACATTTCTGCAGCTTCCTTAGAGCACTTGAAGGAGATCCCTGCATTGCGCAGTATTCTCCTTCCTCTCTGCAAGGTGATTTTCATGCTCTTTTTTGAAGAAGGGTAGCTTCCATGTTCTTTTCCATCTCCTAAGCCTGAGAACTGTGTCTAGGTTGCGACGAAAGGCCTCCAGTTTTCGGAGCTTCAGACCAGGATCTAAGGCATCAGCTAATTATTCGAAGGCCAACGTTGCAAACAAAAACCAAGAACCAACCTACCTCGCAAGCTTACGCGATGTTGCAAATTCTTATCGTTCGCTTTTGTATAAACTGGTGCTGTGGATCACTGCAGGATTATCAACCATCTGGTTGCCTCAAACTTGTTGATTGTGACCTTCCCGCAGGGTCCACGTATGCACTAGTCGTATGCAGTCATATGCTGCGAAATGGACTTGACTATGGCGTACCTGGACCCTGCCTTAAAGGCCATGGGGGCTTAGTAAGTATGCTCATAAGCCCCTAGAAGCCAGACTGTACCTCCAGTGATTCCCATCATTAACCTACTTCCCAGACCCCCTAAAGGATCCACAGGAAGGAGCCCCCAAAGATGATCCCAGTACTAAGTTGGGGAAATTAAGTGATTATTGGGAGTTTCTTTTTTGTTGATCCTTTACTCTGGGGCTCTAAATCGATAAATAACACCTACATTGGGCCGCAAACCCTATAAACAGTACCTACATGGACCCATACCCTAAACCCTAAACTCTAAACCCTAAACTGTGTGCTTTGCCAGAGTGTGCCAGGAGACTATCACTTCCATCGGAGCTTCAGCTGCCTCTACGCAGCCCCTGGGCTAAAAACGGGTCCAAGTACCCAATAATTAGGTTCCCTTTAAAGGGGATATATAGGGTTATATAAGGGGGTATATAAGGGCATACAGGGTTTAGGGTATTTAGGGTTTAGGGTTTAGGGTCCAAGTACCCAATAATTAGTTACTTGGGTTTGGGGTAGTTGTATTAATACTAGGACAGGTTTTGGTAAAGTATATGATTGTTAGGTACGTGGACCCTTAGGGAACTCTGATTTTCCCTGAGGGTCTAAGGAGCCCAGAGAAGGTAATTGGTATGTTCTAGGGTTTGGGGTTTAGGGTTTAGGGCCCAAAGAGGCCTTGCTTATAGAATTGCAGGCCCAAGGTTACATTGTTGACCTGTGCAGAGTTTCGCGAAAATTTCATGCCCACCAAATGTAGGCTGCACACATCTCCCCAGACAAGCTCACAGTAAAGACCACGCGGTTAAGGGTTTAGAGTTTAGGGTTTAGGGTTTAGAGTTTAGGGTTTAGAGTGTAGGGTTTAGCAGTTTAGCGTTCAGGGTTAGGGATTTAGAGTTTAGGGTTTAGGGTTCAGGGTGCATAGACTCCCTGTCACCAAAAGAGGCCTCCTGATCATGCTGTGGGGGGTAGGCCCCGTTCTTCTTTGGAACTTGGAGCGTACTGTCTAAGATATCTAGATCCAATGTTTTCCACAGATCAAATATTTGCCTCAGAGAGTCTGCAGCTGAACAGCAATGGAACCTCAACGAGGGCCCATTACTATCGACTTGTGAAAGGTCCATGGCGTTGATTTGTTTGGAAAAGAGGATTCTTCGGATTATCTCCTACATTCATAGAATGCATTGCAAGATTGCCTACATCTTTAGATCTCTGCTGCTGTTCCATGCCACTGCAGCAGCTACCAGTATCTTCGCAAACTCAGGTTACCAACCATGACGGTTACCCTAAACCCTAGACCCTAAACCCTACAATTACACCCAGAGTCTGAACTTTAGCAAGAGTCTTGTCCATCAATATCGTTTCCCACTATCACTCTGAACTGCGAACCATGAACTTCTACTCACCCTAAGGGTCCAAGTACCCAATAACAATATACTTACCCAACATCTGTATTATAACTACTGTTACCCAAACGGACCCTAAACCCCAAACCCCATATATCCCATACACCCCTATAGATCCCTTCCCCAGACCCCCTAAAGGATCCAACAAATGGAACCCCTTAATAATCCCCTGGTTACCCCAATGTAGCAGTGGGTTCATATTGGGGGGGTTCAATTTGTTGGATCCTTTAGGGGGTCTGGGTCAAAGGGGGCCCATAATTGAGTACATGGACCCTCAGGGTCAGTACTCCCATGGTCATGGTTCGCATCGAGTTCGGGTAGAGCGATTCGGCAACCTGAAGCTCTCATTCTAACTCCAGAGGATGGTTTAGGGTTAAGAGTTTTTAGGTTTGGGGTTTAGGGTCTATATAGTGTACAGTAGGGTTACATAGAGGATATATGGGGGATATAATCCTGGATATATAGGGTTTTATAGAGATTATTGGGGCTTAAGGCGGAGGATCCTGAGTATTTAGATCGTATAAAGTGGGGTTCCTAGACCAGTATGGTTTAGGCTAGTATTCCCCATAGAGGTACTTGGGATTCTTTGGGAACACAGAGAGTATGAATTCATGAGGTTTAGGGTTTGGCGGTTTCAGGTTTTAGAATTCAGGCATGTTACCCAACAACCCTTGTTACCGTCCCCACGCAAAACATGAAACCCAGCAGTTGCTGCTTCCAGCACTATAGTCCAAAAGCCTCTTTCCACATCCCATATTTGTTTGGGAGTGCTCTGAGGGTTTTTGCAAGCTGTCCGACACAAACTTCCCTAATTATGTGATCTTCAAGCTGAAAACTTCAACCCTCAAGCCCCAAACCTTGAGCCCTAAGCCTTATGTCCCCCAAGGTCTAGGCCCAAAGCTCTAAACTAAAGCTTAAACTACTTCCTTAATTATAACGATAAGGTATGAGTCTTACAGTCTTACAGTCAACCCTAAACTCTGAACCCTCTGTCGCAGAGGCATCTGGCGGTCACTCCACGAAGGTGGGGGTAGTGGCTGGCCACAACATCTATGGCAAGTGGGAGGACAGGGGCTTTATAGGAATTACATAGGGATAGCTCGAGAAAATTCAGGAATTTGGTTACTCCAGCCCCACATTTGATGTATGGTCTTAGACGGAGATTTTATCTGAAGACTTTCACCATAATCCGCTTTTGTATGTTTCGGGTTTAGGGTCTAGATTGGGTACTGCCCCACCCCCTCCAGTAACAGTCCATATTAGGGGTCCTATTCAGGGTTATATATAACCATAGTATAATAATTATCCAACTGTTACTGAGTGGGGGCAGTACCCAAGGTCTAGAGTTTCTCAGGATGCCACTACTCTTCCATCGGGTGTTGCCTTCTCCTCGTACCTTTTGATTTAAGTGTATCCGAAATTCTGTAGGTGACTGTGATGTTTTGGCAAAGAATTGAGTTTGTCACACAAGTTGCAACGCCTACAACTTAGAAATTTGAGGCGCAATACTTGGCATGTTTTGGTGGAGAACCACCAATATCTTTTGAGATGCTGTAAGGCCGGAAGCCCGAACCACAAACCCTAAACCCATGAGAGTGCAAAGAGGGTTTTGGTTTCGCCAACCCCCCAAACTGGAGAGCCTGTGACTAGCGTGGGGTAGGGGTTATATGGATGTTATTTTGGGGTTCTATAGGGAATATATAGGGTTTGTATAGGGGTTATTTTGGGGTTATATTCGGAGAATGGAAAAGAACATGCAAACAACTATCATGAGTCTTTTCAGGTACTTGCTATAGGGGATGCCAAAACCCTCATACCATCAGTAAATGCAATCGCTATAAGCCCCTATTTATTAGCCCAGGTTTGTTTGAGTTTCATGTTCTTTTCCACGTGCCTCTGACAGTATAACAGGCCCCCCAATTCTAGTTGTGTAGGCTACCCCTAAACCCTAAACACTATAGACCCTAGACCTCAAACCCAAAACCGAAAAACGTATACAAAGTCCATTAAGTTAGGAGCGCTGTGGCTTGCGTACATGACATGTAGAGCTTTGAAATCCCTGGAGTACTTCCTATGTCAAGTTTCCTATCCCTGAGATTTCATGTAAGTACTATTTATAGGTTTAGGGCCCAATGTAGGTATTATTTCTAGACTTAGAGCCCCAGGGTATCTATTCAAGAATTCGCATATTCTTCTTGTGGCCTTATGTCAGGACTACGACAACAACAAGCTGCCGCTGTTGGACGCCTGCGGCGGGCACATCGGGCCCACACCGGAGCGTGCAGGGTTTAGGGTGTAGGGTTTACGGCTTAGGGTTTAGGGGTTTAGGGTGTAGGGTTTAGGGTATGCCAAGCCCTACACTCGGGGTGTAGGTTGTTGTAAGGGTAAGGTTTACGATTGACCGGCTCGACGTTAGGGACGCCTGCTTTGTGGGCATGCATTTCCCTATGGATCTATAGTCTCAACCTCTTGGTGGTTATTTAGTGGATTATAAGGGGAATTCCTCGGGGAGTATTATGGGGTTTACCAGGGAGGATACTGGGAGTTTAGAGTACAGCTCGTATACCGTTAACAGAGATCCTCTTGATAGGGGCTACGTTTATGGATCTGTCGACTATACAGGCTACTTACATCCGGGCTGATAGTTAAGACATAGACCTACTTGGGCCCCCAAAGTGTGTAGAATAACAGCCTTTTGGGCTTCTCTGAGGGATTTTGGGCCGTTTCTTTCACCTACCTTGGGGAAATAGGCAGCCAAACCACCCCTAAACCCTAAACCCTAAACCCTAACCCCTAAATCCTAACTGCTAAACCCTAAACCCTAAATCCTAAACCCGAAACCCTTAATCAGTGCCAGCTCTTATCAATCAGCGACAGGCTTCGCTGCCTGCACCTGCCAAGCAAGTCTGACTGCTGCTTGTGGCATGTGGGGATTGTTCAAATTACTGTCAATACGAGGTCCTATATTTAGGTTCCTATTATAATATGGGGCCCTATATCAATTTCCCCCATGTGGGAACAGTAGTTTAGGGAAACTTCCATGTATTGGCTGTGGCTGCCGGCATTGCTCTGCTCAAGTGTCTGTGTCTCACAGAACACGGTCATTGGTGTGAAGCGCTTTGCTTCGAAGCACAAACCGAAGCTTGGCTCAATGCAGGAGCAGGTGGATGTGGAACACAGGACGTACGAGGACCGCGGCAAGGCCAAAGTCTTTTTCCCTCGACAAGGTATTTGCAAGCAGGAAGTTGCGGACGTGACGCTGATGGCTGTGATCCCTCAGTCGGGCGCGATGCCTGCAGATGAGGTTGGGGGCAGCTTCTTCGCGGATTGCACCCGGGTGAAGCCCTTACCGTGATCAACTGTGTCTGATGTTCCCCATCACCAAATGCAGGAAGCCTGCCAAGACGTTACTCTCCAAGGCGCAGCCGCATGCCATATATGAGACGCATGTGCAGCAGAGAGTGCCTCCAACTGCGCAGAAAACAAAGGCCTGCGGGCATGATTTTTTTGTTTCAGGCGGCGCTTTTTTTTTTTTTTTAAG